CCCGGCCAGAAAGCTCCAAAACAAAACATATGCAAACAAAACGACAGAGACAAAGGATGAGTATCATCCATTCATCAAGTCAATTTCTAAATCCATCCTTTCATTTTTCGTTCATACTTTCATTATTTCATTCATAAAGTTGGATCTACTTAAAACATGCAAGAAGATCCTGTTACATCAAGCTTTTGCCTTTTCTAAGTTGTGGTTGGTTGGCAGGTGATATGATTTGATTTACCCCGTCTTTCTTATCAAACATCTATCGTCTTTATGTTTTCTCCTCCTCTTTTGTGTTTGTTACATGTACTCTCTTGTCACACCTGTAATCTTCGAATATGTGGCATTCAGTATATTGCAAAAGCCGTAAAACGCTTACTAAAAATATTTTTCTTCTTTCTCCCACGAAGTTAGATATACTCTAGACAATTCAGAAGGTCAAAGTATGTACATGTACATCAACTTCATGATTATGTAATTTTTCTTCTGTCCTTATAAACCCCCTGCTGTTTCTCGGGGTTCGAGCCTTAGGCCCGACATTGTGTCCTTGGGAAAGGCACTTCAGACGAATTTTCCTCACTCCACTCAGGTGGAAATGGGTACCCGGCCATAAACAGCGAAATATCTTGTCTGTTTGGTAGTATTTTAGCGCCTATAAAATGGCAGCGTGCACTATATGCTTCCCAGGATATTGATATTGTTTCCAAATGTTATCAGGTCTGTTTGGGTAATAGTTTGGGCATAAAGGTTGCTGTTGAGTGGTAATTTGTGCTATACACGTGATATCTGTTTATCCCAGGTGATCAGCGAGCACAAGGATGTGGTGAAAATCGTCATCCAGCTCAACTCTATCATCAGCACCTTCAAGGGCGATGTCCAAGAGTCATTGGACACATTCACAGGCTATTCAGAGCTCTGGACTCAGGTATACCAGTTTCTTTGCTTTGCAGTAAATATATCAAATCTTAAAATGTACATTATGTATTTTTACGTCGCCATCAATCAACTTAGACAATTCAGGGAGTGGTGATGTGGGTAGTGAGGAGGCCGGGGAGGCTTCGGCTCTATCTGTCAGATCCAATCCAGGCTGTGAAGGAGGGATACAACAACTCAGCAGAAAGACCGAATACCCGAAAAAATCCATCTAACTTGGGAATACCTCACACCCCATTAACATAACTGTGATAATTTAGAAAGCTGGCTATTTCGATCCTGAATGCCTGGGCCAATCCGAGCTATGTTGGACACACCCAAACGAAAGGACGGAGCTACAGGTTAATGTATTTTCTTTACATGCTTCCATCCCGCCAGGCTCATGTACTTGCCGTTATTGGCTCAAATAGGTTAATACTAGTAATTTACCTTTTTTCAGTACTAGAAAGGATATTACGTGGGTATATGTGTTCAGGACAGGCTTCACAGGCAGGATTGTTTTTGTTTTTGTTTCACAGGAGCCAGAGACGAGAGTGAAGGAATTCATGGCGAACAATCCCATCATGTCAGAGATTGAGGCTCAGATCAGATACTATCAGGTCAGAATGTTTTCTTTTAGGATCGATCAAATTGTGAGCGAGTTATTAGAAGAAAAGAAAATGGAAACAGGGGAGGAAACGAGAACACAAACACACATACACACATGAACATACACGCCTACGTGCATACATGTACCTATACATACCCATACACCCAAATGAATAATCTTAAAAACACAAGCACATATATACACAAGAAACATACCTCAACACGCATACGCGTATACACACGCACTCATACATGCTATGCACGCACAACACACACACACACACACACACACACACACACCCAGACACACACACACGCGCGCGCGCGCACACACACACACACACACACGCACACATAGAGACGAGTAATCTTAAACATATTAACACATAAACACACACACACGCACGTTCCTAAATGCACCTACGTATACGACAGAAAAATATTGAGAATAAGAAAAGAGATTGAGAGAAAGAAAAAAAAAAAGAGAGAGAGAGAGAGGGAGA